ATTTCTTTAAATGCTGATGTTCTATATTTATTGATGTGTGATTTCTGATTAACCCAGTGGCACCATGGGTTAAGCGTTGGACTGTGAAAGTTGGTTGTTGAAATGTCCCAGCTGCTCTGAAGGACAGAGATGAGGGTGTCTGGTCCCATAGAGACATACAGTCTTGGAATCCCTGTAGAACCGTTTTACTCTACCCTGTAGGATCACTATGAGTCAGAAGTGACTCAGGGGCAGGGGGACTTTTTTTTTTTTTTTCTTTAATTCTGATCTAAGTATTGTTCTTGCTTTGTAATTGTATCGAAACAAATTCTCTAACCTCCTTTCCAGATTGTCTTCTATTGCTTTTCATTTTAAAAACTCAATCCTGATAGTTTTCCAAATTACAAAATTGCATAGCTTATCTATTAGTGTGCTCCATAAGATCTTATATGCTACATTTTAATCAAAAACGTTTTTAATTTCTAGAAATACTTGACTTAAAATTGGATGGAATGCTCACTTTGGCAGCAGATATACTAAAATTGGAACAATACAGAAAAGATTAGTGGCCCCTGTGCAAGGATGACACGCAAATTCGTGAAGCATTCCATATTTTTAGACTAAGAAAAAGAAGCCATACTAAAGGGCGGTGGATTCTTTTCTGGTTGTTTGGATGTGAGGTGGAGTAAGGGGAGGGCGGGGAAGGAAGGTGGAGCACTGGGCAGGGAATAGACACAGGATAGTTTGGGTACTGGTGAGAGGGATAATATACAAGAAGGGAGCTGGAAATGAAAGAACAAAGCACATGGGAGAACAATTACACAGGTTTGCATGTGTTCAGTGGGACAGAGGTAAATAATGATGTATGTACAACCTTGGAACAACAGGGCTTTGGGATACAAGCATTGAGACATGGTTGGAATGGGGAATACGAGGAATAATGTTAAGATGCTTGGCTGTCTTTTGAATCTTGGTTTCCCTGGCATACCATTATAAAATAGACACTGGAGGAGGAGAGAAGGGAATAGCCAGAAACATCACCATAGAAAGCTTGTAAGTCTGTCTTCTGCCTATAACTGATTGGAATACCTAAAATGGGGCTACAATGTGCCCAGTAAAGGAAGCTTCCTGCGGAGCCTCTGCATTACATAAGACTATAGGTAGAAGCCTGAACCACATCCAGATCTTCAGAGATGGGAAATTTCCACTTGGAAGGACAAGCAGACCAGCCTGGAGCAGCTAGAAGAACAGAACAGGCTTGTAGTGTATACCCTGTGGTTGGGTGATGATGCATGGAGGGGATTGTAACCATGGCAGTGAAACGATATATGATAGGATGAATGTAAAATGAATGTTCTCCCATGTAAAATATCACATAATTCACAATAAAACATTTAAAAAAAAAAACAGAACGAAAATGCTAGCATTTCTACTACTGCAAATAAACGACATTTACTTTAGTTTGACAAGCACAAAGCTGGTAAGTTAGGTTCTTTTGCTTTCAATTAATGCCTAGTTGTTGTTATTAAGTACGATTTTGTCAATTTCAACTCATAGCAACCCTATTTTGGGTTTCTGAGGAATGGCTGATGAGTTTGAACTGCCAACCTTGTGGTTCAAACTGACTTTGCAGTCCATTGCTTATCCTACAGTGCCACACCAGGACCAAATTTCATTCTCAAGGACAAAATTATTCATCTCTAGTCTGCAGTATGTACCTTTATTACATACTCTGCATTTATTTCACATATACAAATTATTTTGTGAAATATAAAGTTCTATGGTAGCGTAGTGGTTACGAATCGGGCTGCGAACCTTAAGGTCAGCGGTTCGAAACTACCAGCTGCTCCGCGGGAGAAAGATGA